ACAACAACAGCTTTCATGATGTGCATTCTCTATATGTACTATAAGTAGTAATAGTCTTATTGTCTGGATATCTTAGATGAAGCCTTGTCAATTATTATCCATTTTTGACTAGTATTTCTTTCATTTTATTTCTCTTGCTTTTCCACCAAGTAGTAATAGTTGTGTCTGAATTGTTGGTATAGAATAGTTAATTTTAAATGGTTAGAGTTGATCTTTTGCCAGTTGCAGGTCTCTTGTCGGTTAAGATCAAGCAGGTGAACAGATTTTATGGAAAAAGACAGAATTGCAGAGAAAGAAGGGATGTAAGTGTAAACCTCACTGAGAGGTTGTCATAGTGTTCTCGTCAGTATGCATATATTACTGGCCAATTCATTTATGTAGTGAATTTGATTTTGATGTGATCCCATTATTGTGACCTTGTGCCTGGCTGTGTTATCTGTACACTCAAGGGAATGTGTCTGATCTTGCTTTCTCTGAGATATAATTTATGAAAACAATAAAAATGAAAATATAAACCGAAATATGCTATAGAATAAAATGAAATATTTTCCTAGTCAGAATCAAGTGACTGCTTCAAATCACCTCATTTGTAAAATCCATAATGTACTGATTAATATTTATGAAACAGGTTTTTAATAGAACAGCCTTAGCTCTTAATTAATGTACATGGCATTCTTGCACATGATAGTCCTGAGTATGATAAGCTACATCTGGTAACAAGGTCTCTGATTGGAAGATTGGAGGTTTTGAAGAGCATGGAACCACCTTTTAATTGCTGCTGTTCCACCCTGACAATAGGAGAATATTGACCCTCTCCACCAAAAAAAAAAAAATATTGACCCTCTCCACCAAAAAAAAAAAAATATTGACCCTCTCCAAAAAAAAAAAAAAAAAATTGACCCTCTCCACCAAAAAAAAAAAAAAAATGCTATGAGAGTATAAAAATAGATTTTTATAGTAAAAATAATAGCAATTTATTTTTATATTAAAAAAATTAACAGCAATACATATTTATAGTAAAATGTCCAACAATACATTTCATCTGTAGTTGAAGGCATACAATTGCATTCAAAATATTCAAAATATATTGAGTTGAAGCCATAAAATTGTTCAAAATATTTAGATTCTGGCATTAAATAACCCATAGAGGTGTTGATATGCTGCTAAGCAAAATCAACTGAATAACCAACATGAAAGAACATGACATTAATACATATAATATCCTACAATTTCTTAAAAAAAAAAATCAAACTGTATTCCAAAATATAACTTCATCAAAACTACAACATAAAACACATATATCACTGGCTCTAGTAATTATATCAATACAAACATATACATGTATAAAAGCTGAGTATCATCTACCATGTATTCAATTATAAAAGAAGGATAACATTTTTATTACTTCAAAGTTGCCAAGAAAATTAAATTTCAGTATTAAATAATCTATAAGGACATTCTCATTACAACTTTTTCCTGCTTTTCAAGGTAGTCCTGGGTATGATGATAAACTACATTTAGCAGCAAGGCCTCAGATAAGGAGATTGGAGGTTTTGAGAAGCGTGGAACCACCTCTTAATTATTGTTGTTCCTAGGTTCATCATAACCCAGGGTAGCAGCACCTGTTAGGTGCTACCACCCCAGTAGCAAAAGGATAAAAGAAAGAAATCCTTAGACTTGTCCTTTATTTTATTTGTCTAATTTATACTTTATATCTGGAGAGGATATCTTGTGTGTGTGTGTTGACAGCAGAGCACAGAACACCCAACAGGTATGGCATCGTCTTTGGAGCAGATATCTTTCCTATTATGTATCTTACACTTCATATTTATTCTTGGATTTTGGGCACTTTGATGTGGTGTAATGGTTAGCAAGCTTGTCTCACTAGATCATATTATGACTGAATAGCGAGTTTGATCCTCACTGGCTTCCCCATACATTCAACCTTGTGCCGCATCTAAAAAAAATCACCATATTTATTCTTGGATTTGACAAGTACTTGGAAGATTTGCTCTATGAAGAGAAATCAATCCTCCTCCTCTCTGATTTTTTAAAAAATCTTTTCACCTGAAACAAAGCAATAAAACCACAAGAGTGAGAAAATATGAGAAAAAGAGAACATTATTAAGGAGTGAAGACAATAAAAGAACAGGAATTATGATCAAACTTGACTGGAAAGCAAGAAGCTTTTATGTTTATGTTAATATAAATCAAGTAAAAATAAAACTTCTACAGATGTGTAATGATATGAAGGAGTTCTGAAAAGTTCTCAGCCTGACCAAGAATCAATCCCCCTCTTTGCCCAGTTTACTTCCCAAAAGTTGAGTAAAAGAATTTGTGCAGGAGGGTTTCTGTTCTAAATCAAGCCCAGAAATTTTCAGCACTCCATCTACTGATGTTCACTTATTTGGTCAACTTGTAGGAAGTAGGCCAAAACTTTTCAGTACCCATTTGAAGCTGTTTGAATTGAACTTCCTCCTTACTAATGGAATATGAAGGTAATGGAGCTGATTTTTACTAAAGTACAAGGCAAGGGGGGCCTTAGCTGTGAAGGTCTGAACTGGTGGAACTAATGAATGTAGCTAGTCAACATTTCTCATGGAAATATTGATAGAGTAGTGACTGGCTTGCAATATTTTGTCTGTTGTAAAAGAGGTTGTAGAGTGGAAAATAAGTCATCACCCACAAGGCTGCATAGATGCTTCTAAAGTAAACTTAAATCTCTCCCTGTTAAAACACATTTACTCATTGGTGTTTGTATTGTGGGTTTGAATGTTTTGATTGTTTGCCATTTACTCATTGGATGAATGATTATATATATATATATATTTATAATATTTATATATATATAATATATATAATGGAATATATATATATTCATATATATCTATATATATATATATATACATTATATATTTATTATATATATATATATATATATATATATATATATATATATATATAATATATATATATATAAATATCATATATATATATATATATATATATATATATATATATATATATATATATATATATATATATATATATATATATATATATATATATATATATATATATATATATATATATATTATACTTTATATATCTTATATATATATATATATATATATGTCATTTTGTTTGGAATCAGACTGACTCCGTGAGCAGATTAAAAACATTCTGGGCTGGATCTGGACCCTCTTAATCCTGAAATTTCATTTTGGATTTCCAAGTTTTCATTTTTGGTTTCCAAGTTTTATATATATATATATATATATATATATATATATATATATATAAGTGAGTTTTTGAAACAAATTTTTTTTTGTATAATAACAATTTTTATAACTTGGAAATAAATTTGGGAGTAATCAAAATCCAGCAAAAGCCACCCATAAAATAAAAATAATTGTTTGTACAAAAAGTATGGACCTACATACATCAAATTGTCTTTAAATTAACTGGAAGCAGGAGAATTATCATTCAATTTTTAAAAGCTTAGCTTAAATTTTAAGGCAATGTTTAATTGCAGTTGATCAATTTTGCTTTTTTCTGTAGTTTATTGTTGCCTATCACATTTACTCCTCCCTACCTATTGTGATGAAGGCCAAATCAAGAGCCCTTTACAGGAGCTAGCTTAAATGCCGCCCGATAGGGTGGCTTTTAAGCTAGTGAGGAAATAATGCAAAAGGGTCAACCTAGTGTTCTAACAGAATGTAGAAGGTAAATTTTGCCCCAAACAGTTAATGCTGAGGATGATTTTTGGCAATGTTTTGCATCAACCAGGGGTTCTAGATGTTTGGCTTCAAATCCTGTAATTTATAATTCTGGGCTAATATTCTTAAGACCAACCATGAGGATTTTAAATAAATAAAATTGTGCTGACTTATGACTAAAACTCACCAAATTCCAATACCCTTCCTAGTCCTCATCAAACACATCCTCCCCATTAACAATGTCAACCAATTCAATAAAAAGACATTAATTTATTTTTAATATCCTGATATAATTCTGTTTAGTTCCTTAACATGTACATTACACTCTGCCATTACCTTAGATAAACAATGGATCATTCTGGTTTGCTTGCGAGGATAGACGAAAGAAAAGATATATTAAAAGTGTTTTATGGAAAAGAAAGAATGAATAAATGAAAGAAAGAATGATTGAAAGAGAAAAAAAACAGAGGTGGCGATAACACTCTCACATGTCTAACATCTGCTTCAGTGAAATGGAAAACCTTGTCTTTTCATTTGTACCCTCTTACTTGTTTAAATGAATTCAGGTCATTATTTAATGACCTGCATTCATATTTATGATTGTTATTGCAATATTTTGTTAAAGTTGTTAAGCTCAAATATTTAACAATGTGATAGGGGAATTTCCATGGGTATTTTATGGTCATAGAACATGCAAAGAACTTATTCAAACATTAAATTAACGATTATTATTTATCAGGAAATTTATCTAGGAAAACTGAAATTTTCACAACTATTTCTGGTGTTTATTATTACCTGTATTATTTAAGTTTTTCTCGTATTATAATTTGGACTAACATGTCTAGTATAGGAAGAGAAATCGAAACTGAAAATGGAATAACAAAATGTAAAACTAAAATGATTCTTATTTATAAACAATAATGAAGAAAAGGGTAAAGGAATTTCTACCCTTAAATAAAAAAAAAAAAACAGGTTTCCAAAATGGTCGCCATTGTCTTATAAATACATCTAGTATAGAAATTGAAAAAGGAATAGTAAAACACAACACTAAGATGTATTTTATCAAAAAGTAATAATGAAGTGAAAAGAAATTCTACCCTGAAATAAATAAATAAAAAAAAAAATAATAATTATTACTATTTTTTTTATGCCGGGGGGGGGTGTCTTTGAGGCATCAAGGATTCTATGAAGATGGTTAATGAACTAAAGTTTGGCAACCCCTACACTCAAATGATTTTATATTTTATTTATAACTAATTCATTCTTTTTCTTTTCTTTCAGCCTTAATGCTCGATTTGGTGTTGTTTCTGTTCCAAATATAATATTCTTCCATCAATCGAAGTCAGTTGTCCGCTTTAATAGTTCGAAAAAAACATTTGAAAATATGGTCCTTTTTGTCAAGAACATGACAGGTAGGTGCCTGTTTGCTTTTGTTTTGTCAGCTTTTGATCACAGAAGAAAAGAATGTTGTCTCTGCAGGCATTTCTTTTTTTCTTTTTTTTTTATTTTAAAATTGCAGGCTGTCACTGTTAAGACAACAATTTGAAAATCTTTCATTCTCATAAGATGTGACTTAAGGATGGGAATAGGAAAGGTGACATTAACCTACAAGGTCACTACAGTTTAATTTAGAGTTACAACTAATTTTCATGCACCACCACCCATCCACCCCCACCAAAAAAAAAATAAATATCCCTAGGCAGGGACAGTGGAACAATAATAATCTACACCTGTAGATTAAATAAATCAAATTCCCTAAAGGTTACCTGAATTGGCAATCACCTGAAAGTGGCAGAAGAGCACAACAGCCAAAACATTGTGATAATGACAACAAAGATTAGGACAATAGTTCAAGTGTAAATAATGCAATTAATAATGTAAATGAAAACTCCTCATCCTAGAAATTCAGACAGGAAAACATTTATTTTACCCAAGAATGCATAAACCAGAACACTGTAATTGTAGGTGTTGATATATAAACATGGAGTAGATCCAATTGAGGTAATTTGCATTTACTTTGCACTAATACCCTTGGGAAAGTCATGAATTGGAATAATTCTTTTTTGGCTAAGAAAGGATTTACATACAGTAATTATGCAAATTCTAATTATATTTCTGTTTCTTAATACATTGTTTAGATTCTAGGAAGGCATATTTGTTATCACAATGTGTAGGAAACAAATTAGAAACAAAGATAAGAGTGCTGAACTGTTATGCGTTATCAGTCCTTCTATACAGGAATGAATGCTGGACAATCTTACAGGTGAAGAAGAGTTGAAGCAACAGAAATATGGTTCTACAGAAAGATGCTGAGAATACCATGGACTGAATATGTGAACAACAACAAAGTCCTAGAGACAATGGAAACAAAAAGGACACTTACAGTACTTAACATCAGGAAGAGATAGTTGACATTTCTAGGGCATATAATGGGGAAAGAGGGCTTGGAAAATTTGATACTCTCAGGACAAATTGAAGGGAAGAGAAAAACAACACATAACCTATATAGTGAGCTTCAGTGAATGGATGGCAGAGAAGGGTTTGGGAGAGATATAACCCTGTTGCTGCATGCTTCACTAAAGGCCACTCTTACTCTGGTCTGTATCTGTTGGTCCGTCTCTGGCAAGCTTGTTCTGCACCAATCCTGTGCCCCCACATTGTATTTCAGTATACACAGGAATATTGGTGAAGAACTGTCGAAGCTCCTTGACTCCTCTCTGTCCTGGTTATGCTTGAAATTTAATTAAATTCAACAACACTCATTAACCAGTGTAAAAATAACAACTTTTATTTATGGTACTATGATTAAGATCATAAATACACAAACAAAAGGGATTTATAGACATTTCCCCTGCATAAGGAATTCTTAAGCTGGGAGGAAGCAGTAGACTGGCGATTGCAGTTGTGGCTAAACAGCCCAGAGTTGTTCAACTATTTAATGGATCCACCATAAAATGACCCATCAGAGGTTGACATGCCATAAAACCTAAGAAACTATTTAAATGAAGTTGATAAAGGAATTAAAAAAAACAGCACCAAGAACAAGACTCTAGCTGATTGAGGCACCACAGTCATCTGGTAGGAAGAGTGTTAGTTGACCAATTCAATCTTACTACTCTGTTCTTTCGGCAATTGCTTTTTATCAGGTTGCAAACCCCAATTGTTGACTGCTCTAGCCAATTGACCAGTGGTATTGGCTATTAATGCTTGACCAGTGGTATTGGCTGGCCAATAATAATGTGACCAGTGGTATTAATGCTTGACCAGTGGTATTGGCCCAATAATAATTGCTTGACCAGTGGTATTGGCCAATAGCTAAGTAATAATGCTTGACCAGTGGTATTGGCTAGCCAATAATTGGCTGAATGGTATTGGCTTGACCAGTGGTATTGGCTAGCCAATAATAATGTGACCAGTGGTATTGGCTAGCCAATAATACCAGTGGTATTGGTAAGCCAGTGGTAATTGGCTAGCCAATAATAATGCTTGACCAGTGGTATTGGCTAGCCAATAATAATGCTTGACCAGTGGTATTGGCTAGCCAATAGTAATGCTTGACCTATGGTCTTGTGTCATACACCTTTGAAAGGAAGGAAAGAAAGCCCCAAGAACCTAATATGATTGGTGGCCCAACCAAAATAATGACCCTGTGTTGTAATTATTAGAGGGAGATGAAAAACTCCATCCTAGTTCTTCTCTCATTGGCAGGCCAATCATAAATGGTGGCTTTGTATTACCTGTATCCATCTTCAATGGAACATTTTTCCATGTTCCAGATTCTCACCCTCATTTGACCTGATTATCACAGGTGTCATCATCAATTCTATCTGAAAGTGTTATATTCCTGATCAAAACAAACCTGACCCATTAAGATCTGCACTGTGTCACTCATTCCTACAGAACAATTCCTTTATTAAAATTAACACTTAAGTAACACAGACCTAAGACTGTACCTAATGACTAACCCCACCCAAGCTTACAATTTCACCTCTGACACTATACTCCATAAGTAACACAAGCCAGATAATTATGGTATTGAATTGTTTTAACATGGAAATATTTTTCTTTCTTTAAAAATAAAAAGTAGATCACCAGTCAACCTTTGACACCAGTCATGGTATCATAGAGATAAACAAAAGACAAAATTTATTTGGAGAGCCATGATCACCAACATCCTAAAGTTAGACAACACATAGAAGAATTATGTAAATTAGTGTAGAATTCTTAAAAAAGGAGGAAGTTTTTTTCCAAGAATTAAATAAAAAAAAAAATTGTAAAAATATTTCATTTTAGATCCTATTTTTGTATAAATTTTTTTATAGAAGTTAAAACTGAACGATTTTCTTAAGTTCTTGAAATCTACAATTCTAATAGAATCTGCATCTTTAAAAAGATGCTGGCAATCTTCAGTTGGTCCATCAGTAGATGCAAACTATAGGGGCCATATCTCATATTTGTATTCCTTTTAGATATTTAGAAAACATGAGTAAGGCTGACTTCTTCTGCACCCTCCCACTCTCATATATATATATATATATATATATATATATATATATACATACATATTAAAAAGAAGAGAAGAGAGGTGCCACAATTGTTTTTGGTTGTAATGTGGATTTTTTTTTTTTTTTAATATTATGCTTTATTTTCCATAATTTTACTACACGTGTTTCATGGTAAGTACTTGGGAAATAAAAGTGATTCTCACAGTAACAGTGCATTTCCTGCCTTATTTAATTGTAATATATTGAAAAATATTTGTGAATATGAAAGGATTATGATAAAAATAAGCAGACATAATGTTTGTAATTTATTCAATCAGACATGCCTAAAAGAGAATTTGTTGCTTAAATACATATATATATGCCTCCACTTTTTCAAGGAAAAACAGCATAATAAAAAATCACCTCAGAACTTGTTCATATGTCAATAAAGATAAAAGAAAAATAGGACTCATTGATAAGAAATGCTTGTATATTTTTTATGCTCCAAGTAAGTAATATTTATTTCAAATTAGATTAATTTAGCTTTAAATTTTCTAATTTTACTCAAATAACATGCCAAATATGTTTTATTTTTGGAAGATTTTTAAAAACAATAATTTTGTTTTGTTTACAAATTTTTTAGAATTAAGAAAATGGTCGCTTGTAAGATTTTCCAAAATCTGCCTAAAAGTTGAGATTCCAATCTATATAATTTCTATTTGAAATGTATCATAATATTTTATTTACTGGAAATAGTAAATTTAATCATTTAACTTTCTATTAAAGCTAAAATGAAATCTTCAAGAATGCTTTTTCATTTTTAAAAAGTCATTTTAAACCTTAGGTATTGAAAATTCAGTGGAGGTACCTATATATATATATATATATATATATATATATATATATATATAAAAAATGACTGATAAAGTACCTCTGTTAATTTTTTATCGTTCTTATCTTGTGTGCAAATAAGCTTTCTTTTATGGACTTAGTATAAAAATAATGAAAAGCCTTATCATAGAAAACAAAAATATAACCCTTAACCCTTTACTGTTGATGGAAGCTCCACACCATTTCACACCTGGCTCCAAGCCAGAAAGACTATATATGTATGTTAGATGAACTGAAACTAGACAGCCCACATATCTACCATGTAAATTGCTAATAGATGCTAGCTGAAATCATTTTTTAATTTTTAATTCCTCGCCATTGAAAATTTTTTACTTTTTCTGAAATTAAGGTCATTTGCTCATCTGACTATTCTTCCTTTGCTTTTTTTTAAAAAAAAATATCTAATCAACTGTTTGTTTTTCTTTTTTTTTTTTTCTTTTTTTTTTCAAATTGCCAGTTCTTCATAAAATGCTTAACTGTTTCAACTCTGAATGGCCAGTATGTAGGCCACTGTTTGAAAGTGCATATACCTGGACAGCCAGTATACTAGTCAAGAATCATGTGCATACAAACAGGGTGGTCTTACAACCTTGAAACTAAACACATAATTTGGCCTTAGTATTTTAGTCAATCATGGAACGTTGTATCTAATAGTAGGTCACCAGAGAATTTCAACCAACTACAGCATGTTTTATCTAATACTAGCAGTAGAGCCCGGGGATGTAACAGTAAGAGACAGATCAAGTATCGACCATCATAAAGACTGAAAAATAAAATTGACAAAGATTATTGTTTAAGATTGATGGACACGCATGTCTTAATTAGTTTTTTTTTGTTTTGTTTTGTTTTTTTTTTACAAATTGGTCAAACTCAAACAAGAACATTGTTTTCAATCGTTATGAGTCTACCGATTGAATAGAATTTTATTATAAACAATTGTCTTGTAAATGGAAATTTTAAAGCATTCTGAATGTAAAAATAAAGAAAAAAAGTGTGCAAGACAATAAGAAACACTACCTGCCAAAAAAAAGTGAATTTTTGTTGAAATTGGTTGAAAAATGGAGGAAATCCAATCCCATATATATATATATATATATATATATATACGAACACACACACACAACCAACCTGGGTTTTATAATAAGTATAACTCTATATGAGTTGTCCCCCT